TACGGAGACATACTTGGAGTAGGATCCATACTAGCATTTATCTGAACTAGCGAAACACAAGATCCTTGTTTTCACATCGCGCATGCATCGTATGTGTATCCATAAATACACTTGGATAGAGTGTACCTCAATCATCGCTAGAACTGGACAGTGGCGATTTAGATTCGGCTGTGGCTGGGATTTGCTGAGTACGTCTCTTACAATCGTACTTATAACTCTTGAAGAGAAGGAGATAAAAAACCAAACATATCATCCAGGGAAGACATGTGAGGATGATCATAGCTCTACTCAAGGCCTCGGCGTTCCTATGCCGGATGTCTAGTGACATCTCAGCAACAGGAACTGACATATGCTGATAATTGAATACTCGTTCAGCAATGATACCAACCATTGGTGGACCAAACAATGCTCCACAAGAACCCTCCAAGGCGGTGAGCCAAGCGATGATGCTGGCCCTGCTATGTGAATCAACGAGCTCGACTAGAATAGGACGATTGGTGGCTACGGCAGGCCATGCTGCTACTAGTCCGAAAATAACAAGGAGAGCAGCATAACTACCGTATGAAGAGGGAGAACGTGGAACAACGAAGAATGCTATAGCAAGAGTAGGGATACCAGCTGCGACGCTGCACACGGCAACGAAGGGGCGACCAAAATATCTCCACCGTCGTGTCGCCCAATCTCCTAGATTCCCACCTAAGACACTGCCGAGGATAGCTGCACCCATATATAGGACAATCAAGCTTCCCGCTGATCGATCAGAAAAGCCAATATATTGTAGCCACAAGGTGGTGAATGTAAAAGCTCCCCATGGTATAGTGCCAAAACAACCCTGGAGTACGATAACTACAAAGGACCGAACCTGAAAATCGGAGAAGAATCGACCGACCTAACCACTAGGGACTAGTTCTTACCTCCCGGAGGTAATAGAAAAGCTTCCGGTACTCTTCCGTGAGACTATCAAACCACGTTTGTGAGGGATATACAACCGGGTCTACTTTTATTCCTTCGTGCATGTCCGCAGCACCCCTAGGCGGTTCTTCAAATGTTCTTAGCAGCGCAACGACTAAGAAGGCACTCGTAGCACCAGTAAGTAAGAAAGTTAGCCGCCAGCCCATGAACCCTGGTACGATGGTGATGCCACTCAACCAGGTCCCAAATAAACTCGCGAAGATCTGTCCAAAAGAAGTGAATGACTGTATTAATCCAAAAGTCGATCCCCGGTTCTTTGAAAGGGATACATCAGCAACAATGGACTGTGATACCGGTATAATCGATGCCAGAGCAATCCCATTGAGACAACGTATGACGAATAAAACCCAGAATCCGCTGGCTGCCGAGGTTAGAGCGGTGAATATAGCCCAACCCCCCACTGCAGTCGTGAGAACAAGCCGCCTTGACATGGAGTCAGAGACAGCGCCCCATAGTGGAGCGGCAGATGCCTGCCAGAAGGCTTGACCCATGGCTAGATATCCCAACGAACTGGGAGATAGCCCAAGATCCATTTCCATAGCACGGTAGCATGAGGGTAGTAGAAGCATATCTGTACCCTCGATAGCGCATACCACATAGAGCAAGCGTCTGACATCTTCCCATCGAGTCTCGAATTCTTGGTCTGTCAGTGTTGAGCGGGTGAGCCCAGGTTCACAGGTCATGAGTGGGACTTTCTCTTCTTCGTGCAGACTTGGCACCGCCTTGCCACTGGGAGTACGTTGAATCATGAATCACGTGAAGCTACGTGGAGCGCTTCCCATACTTCCACATGAGGCCAATTAACAACACAGAGACTGAGACAATGATAGAAAAGACATTGTACAATGGGTACCGGCAATCACAACCGATCTACCACCAAATAATGTAGATTAATAATACAACGACATCGAGAATGAGATATCGGTACACAAGTAGCCCATCTTTCTGACACCTTGTCTAATACTCCAAGAGCTAATAATATTTGAGGATAGCTTCGGCACCATATTAGGTAACCTACAATTGTAGCCAGCTACATCAGATCCAATACATACTGACTCTAGAGATCGTCAAGACAAATCTTCACCGCAGCAGGTGCGTTAGAGTCTGTACGGAGCTTCTTCCCCTTATGATGGTGACCGTGCCCCGATGCGTTTCGCCTGGTTGATCCATCCGTTCGCACACTCTCTAGTAGAGACACTGACGGTGTTATACTGGACTGAGGCTGGAGGAGTGACTGCCCGGTGAGGGTGTTCGATTGTTGCATCTGGAATGGGCTAGAGGCAACATTAGCAGCTGCGTGTTGCTGTATCTCTTCCATTGAGTGAGCATAGGAGCAATGCTCCCCATAGCCACATTTACCCTCCATAAAATGCTTGCATAATTCAGTTTTATATCTCCTTGGAGCGGGAGGCTGAATAGATATTTGCTGGATACCCATCATTCCCATCCCCGCTGCAACTGGTGGTCCCATCGATGGGCCATTGCTGCCTGATTGGTTGTTAGCTCCATTATGACCAAGTCCAAGCCGATGTTGCAGTTCTCTAATACGACGATCAGTTTCGTCCTCTTCTGAGCTACTGCCGCTACTGTCGCTCCACGAAGAAGAAGAAGCGTCTGATGAATAGGACCGAGACCTACTATGATGATGACGTTTCTTCTCGAACCGTCGCTTCTCGGCTAGCCTTATATCATTTGCACTGACAGCACCTTTAGGCAGATCCCCTCCCGCACCAGCAAGTACCCCAGATACACCGCCTCCATAATATGCCATCTCATCGGGCCCGTGGGCATAATTGCAATAGGCGCCCTTCTGACATAACCCTTGTTGGAAGGCCTGACACATTCGTGTTTTATAATACGGATTATTAGCTGGGACACTTCCCATGGTCATAGATAAGCCACCTCCATCCATTATGCCGCCACCACCTGCTGTACTACTGAGGGTGACACTATCACCCACCCGAGCCGTTGGCATAACAGTGCCTGTATGAAGACCACCTATCAGGCCTCCACTAGGTCTACCACCGCCCGCTACGTTGGGACGAAGTTCCTGCGGACCATGAGCGTAGCTACAAGCCTGCCCACGAGGACAAGATCCAGATTGGAAAAGCGGGCACAATCGAGTCTTGTAGAAGGTACCATGTCCGGGAGGGACTGGAGCAGTCGGAGGTACGTAACCAGGGAAGCCTCGAGGCGACGTGACGCCGCCGCCGCCATCCATGGGTTGACCATCCCTCGAGCGGGAAACACTAGCAGGGCTCGATGATTTGCTTCTACGCCGAGAATGCGACGCAGAGCGTGATCGGTGGTGATGATGATGATGTCGGTGCTTTTTGTGTCGATCCTTCCTTCTTAAAGCCACAGCAGGTCCCTGGGAAGGCGCGGGCTCGATCTCGCTCTCATCGATGTTCGCATCATCGATCACGGGATCTGGATCGCCAGGCTTCTTGTACAACAGCTCCTTCGCCCAGTCCTTGCGCACAGCATACACCAAACTCTGCTCCACAAATTTCTGGAGTGTTTCGAGCTTTTGCTTCCGGGGATTCGCAGGAGATCTTAATCCCTCGTTGGTTGAGAATCGATCCCACAGGGTTTGCCACTGTGGATCGTTAGCATCCATCCCAAGTTTGATCAGTCGATACAGAAACCCGAAGGATTTCCAATCGATGGTCCGTCGTACCAGATGATCGGAACTGCCTTCTCCAACTATATTAGACGAAGATGAGATAGTCGTCCCACCCTGCAACACAGAGGTGGAAGACCCAGGAAGTAACTGTAAAATTCAAGTTCTACATTAGCTGCATGGGCAACCTACCTTCTGGCGTTGGGGGCCGAAGCTCGTAGGCCGAAATAGATTAGTCAAGCTATCCAAGTCCGAAGCGTCCTTCACACCATACTCAGAGGCCACGAAGTTGGCAGCAGGGACCTCAGTTTCACCATACTGAGAATACTAGCGGATGATCAAGTCATGTCACAGTAGCCCAACGTTAAACACCTGTGGTTTGGCCGCTATACCGTCTATATGTGATACATACAAGATCCAGACCGTGTGAGGAAGGATACATCCCGAAAGCCGAACCTATTGATGTATTGAGCTAATTGCATTCATAACCCAATAGGTACTTGTAAACGCCTTTGCTGACTTTCCTGGGACGTGGCCTGAATCTCCTAGCCGATGCGGGTACCCGTGTTAAAATCTCTTTGAGGAGCAGATCAACTGAGTATAAGGGGCAGTTAGCAGCAGTAGAATGATGGTATGGTGCTAACCCAAATCCTCAGCCTGGCCAGTAGTATCTTCTACAAGTGATGGCGCCGGTGGCATTAAGCTATCTTTCTCGCTCAGTGATGATCCATCATTGGCGCCGGACGGATCACCTGGTGGAGCCTGATATAAGGGAAAAGGCTGGATGAAAAGGCCTGATCCCGTCAGTGTTGGTCAACTCACCGCCGTCCGGGGCACTGTCGCACCGTTCAGAGTTGCTTTAGCTTGCGCAGCAATGCCAGCAGCCAGTGTCGAAGCTGTGTCAGCACTAGACCCTACTGCAGCTCCTGAAGTTGTTGAATGGCATGCATAAGACAAACTCAGCATAAGGTTGTCTTACCCATACTCATAACGACTATATCAGAGCTATCTCGTGTTGAAACGTTCGGATCCGCCATCTGTATCTTCTTCACATTCGCAACCTATTTGGCATACTAAGTGATTGCTGTGTGATTATTAGAAGACCCTCACTCTGCTCTGTGGTTGGCTTATACACTTGGCCGTGGTATTCTGGACATTCACCTCGAAGACTCCAACGCCAAGAAGTCGGAGAATTGATCCGACTGTCTCCCCAGAAAGGACATCCCTACCAGCATATTCTCCCATGACTTCACGCATTCTTGGCCAACTCACCGCGGGAGACGAGCCGCCTTGGAAGAGTTTATGCTAGTGAAGTGGAAATTAGTGATGGCCCGATCGATATCAGCACCGAATGGCAGAGAGAACTCACTACTTCCAAGCGGGAGTATCTAAACCCACGCAAGGTCTTGAAATACATACCAGACAGTGCACTTTCACTGGTATGAAAAGTAGAAATCGCTGTTATGTTATTACTGACGTAAGAGCTTGAATCGCGGCATCTGTTTCCCTAGGACCCATCGAAAGATACTTCTTATAGTCATCCAATGCTCGTGAATTATGCCTGATATAGAATAATGGCGCATGTTCTCGAGAGTCTCAAGGAATACACCAAGCGCCTAGGATTGATATACCCTGCGCCTAGGAACCCTTTCATATCGAACTACTTCTGAATCTGCTTGTCGAGCCAACGTGATAGAACACTCTTCCCAGTGGTATGTAACACAAAAAACTCTCGATCAGCCTCATCGGCGTACTCCTTGCAGGCGGGTATCTACAAAACTTTCTGACCACATCTAGAATGCTGAACAAAATTTTCCAGCCAAGCTTTCCTGACGCTTGAAGTGAGCATGACTGATAAGAGCTTTGGACACTCTCATGAAGACTCGTCACGCCCGATGATTGCAACTTACGTTTGATGCCTCACGAATTGTAATAGCTAGTACGGTCATGAAATCCTCCTTTAGCGAAGCGTCTGGAATGTCCTGGAATAGCCCATATCAGCCTCGATACGAGTGTTGATATTACCTTATACAGTTTAAGTACGGGACTGTTAGCAGCATTAGTAAGAGAAATATTAACGTCGGTAGGATTCCGAGTATTCGAGGGAGCTCTGCGAAGCAAAGACAAGGTGGTTATTAAGCAAGCCACGAGGTAGACAGTACAACGATCAAGGGGTGATGATACAACACGAGTTACACTATACACGTAACCGTTACTCACCGAATCCATTCCTCCAGTGAATCAATCATTCTATTAACCCGCTCAACCAAGACGCTATTCACCATAGGACAGCCATGGACCAACTCTTTACGATGCGAGTCCGAGGAGAGATGACCTGAATGACATCGTCCTATAAATATAGTAAAAAGTGATGAACATGACGAGGTAGAGCTGAGCTGTGAGTAATGACAATTAAACTGAGCCGGGCTCATAAAGATTCACACCACTCATCTTGGCCTATGATACTCTGATTACCATCCTTGACAATGAGATCCAGGAATCGCAGAACACCGGCTCTCAGTTCGGAATCGCTTCTTCCTCCAGTTGAAAGCGTTACTGTTTTAGCGTTATCGCCAGTTGGACGAGCCCCCAAGAGCAACTGCCCAACTCTTCCCATAGCAGGGCTGCATAACCATGATCTACCTTGTGCGAAATCACCTGGTTCATGGGATGCCTTCACAGAGTCCTTCAGTACATTACCTCCGATGATCTTAGCAAACCCTAGCTCGATCATCGCTGATGCCGCCCGCCTCGTGTTCGGGTCTATCTCTGGAAGGCTATGGAAGCGAGAGGGATCCAAAACTTGCCTGAAGATCAACAACCAGTAGATCCCGCAGGAACCAAATCAGGGAGAGAATGATCAGAGTAATGTATCAATTTTTCAGGTTCAAAGAGAACGATTGAACTAACCATTCCCCCTAGTAACCTAATAAATACTACGGTTCAAGTATTACCCTCGAACCATCGCAGCCATGCACTCCACCGCCGCTGTCTCAAACTCGTCTGTGAAGCATGGTGCCTTATTTTGTAAAGTATCAGCTAGCTGTTCACGAGCCTCGTCAGATGTCACAAGCTCCAGCACAGCACTGAAAGGACCATGCCCTATATCCGCTCTACTCAGGACCCTTACCGTGTAAAGTTTGGTGCGAACATTTCTTTGAGAATCTTCGCTGACTGCTTCCGATGAGCTTCCTTTTCGTCAACTGAAGCCTCGTTATCCAGAGCCTATGGGATATTAGAGCACACTAAAATGATAGAGAGGCTCATTGTACTTTCAACGAGTTCAAGGAGTTCTGGTGCACTCTCCAGAAAGTCTTCAGAAACGTTGAAGTGGGAGCGACCATATAATTGGGGGGAACACCTCTTACAGACACTAAGAATCGCCTCAATCACTAATACTACGCCAAACAAGAAGAAATGGTAGCAGTGAGGAAGCGTATGGAGGCAGTGATATCACTGCGATTGTAGTGCAAAAGGCTACTTGAACGAAGGAGTTACACTTGTCCGGGTGGAGCGACGGCCCTTACGACTAATCTCCTCAATCATCTCTGGACTCATCTTCATCACCTTAGACATGGCCTTCTTGTCATATCTTCGAAGCTTGCTTGTGTTCTTTATCACCTGAAATATAACCAATAAGGGAATTCTCATTACTCATGTATTCCAGAACATGCCTGGTATTGACCGCTCCTGATCTCGTTCTCCTTCTTCCTTTCCGCCTTCTCCACTCGTTTCTTATTGGCAATAGCTCTCTTCTCCTTCGCAATGGCTTTCAATTCTACTTCACGACCTTTAACCAGGGATAGATCGCGCTCGCGAATTTTCCGGGCATCAAACTTGCTCACGCCGGGTTTAGCAGGAGTACGATAGTCTCTTTTGCTCGCTTTTATTTTGATAGACCTGGAGAGATGCTATACGAAGCTGATACGGTGACTGAGGCGGTGTTTCTACTCAAGACTCCAATGTTGAAATAGAACTTCATTGTCGAGTCCCAGGGATCGCTATAACTGTGCCATTGAATATCCATTGAAATTTTCAAATGACTAGCCTTCACGGTGTTATACAGATAAGACAGCGCTGCCCGCAAGTTCCAATACTACTTTCTTCCGGGAAGTTGCTTCCATGGTCTCCCACTGACACACAGCCGAGACGGATTCTGAGCCTTGGGAGGTCTAACTTTGGTCATAGCTGATATGGACAATACACTATACAAGTTAGTAGGTCACATCGCCCCTAATACGCCTTCACGGGCTCAGCGTAAAACTCTATGACAGAGCCATGCATAGAATATCATAGACTATTGAGTGTTTAGTACATACTCTGGAAGGACATCCCCACCGCAATGGAACGTAGATCCACCACCCCGAAACGAGACGTTGCCGTGATTAAGCGAATCCCTCAGAAGTTCGAAATTTAGAACCGCGCTCGCCACGAAATTATGTGCTCTGACTGTGAGAGTCTCACATTGAGGACAAGTCTGGAAGAAGTCATGATACACAGTCACTTGCTTATCTTACCATCTTGCTGTCGCTCTGGTATTTTATCAATTCCAGCAAGAAGTGCAGTTTATCCAGGTACACTTGCGTCGTAGAGGCGTTTGAGTCTTGAGGCTGTTTGGTTGGAGATTGGCAACATGAAGGTTCCGGCCCTATACACGCTATTGAGGCTCTCGAGGATGCTTTGACAGTGAGATCACTCAGAAGCCATGCCTCACAGACTGGTATCAAAAATGAATCGTCTGAGACATGATGATCAGTACTTGCGGGATAGATTAACGAGCTAGAAGCTTCGTGACGAGTCAATGTTTCGTTGAAGGCTGAGGTTCCGGCTACCAATGGGAAAAGGTGCTGCTGGCGTGCTAAGTCTTATTGATATATCAAAGTCTACTGCTATTCAAGAAGATCAATGCTTGAAAATCCTGGTGAGCATATTGAAAGCGTGAAAGCTTAACGGGAGAGAGCTCACGAGAGTTGGCGTCTCAGAGCACGGTGAACACCCACGAACACGGGGATATCAATCTCGCGGGGATGAAAACCTTGGGAGAGGTATACAAATGTCAGTTATTTCGAATATACGAGAAAGTAGAATTTCCCAATCAGGTGAGTTGAGGAGTTGGAACTGCGGGAAAGGTTGTACACAGTATACGCCTGTCCACCTCAACCCTATTTCGAAGCTCTGATCTCCAATGCTGTGTTCTCAACAGAGTCTTCGATCACGTGTGACCAATACAGAGAAACGTTTTCTTCAGCGACGGTTTTTTCAGCTTCAGCGACTGCTTGAAGCTGTTCGTCCGACTGTTTGCCACGGTATAAGCAGATCCTCACGAATTTGCTACGCTCCGTCGCCTGTTGGGTATTTTCGAGGTTTGTGGGTGATAACGACACAACCTGAAACTAAACGGCCGCTGGTCGGACCTGAGGAGTTGTTTGCTTCTCACCCTGACTTGCGCGCACCAGAGGTATGGTGCCATAATGCAGAACAGTCTTGGACAATCTTTACTCGGGGAGTTATTCATATATTGCAAGAAACTATTGAAAGGAATGCTACATCCAAAGCAAGAACGAGAACTCGTCGCCGATATAGTTCTATCATTCTAAATACAAACCTCATTTGAGTTTCTGAGCGAGATCCACGGCGGGGCTTCGCAGGCTGTGAATCACAACCAGCCGAGAAGCATTGAATATCTGTGGCACAGCATGCTCAATATTATCACGATGTCTTCGCTTCACTGCGATCAGTGTTGTGTTCAATTCGGTTTTTTTCAATGATTCTTGTCATTCAGGTCGATGGGGGTATTTCTCTCCTGCCAACGGGTGTACATGGGTGTTCCTGAGTAGACGATCATTCAAATGACTGAGAAGCGTGTCGGCCCCACCAATGAAGCTCCCGCTGCTCAGGGGAATCTGCTTGCCAACCAATTCTCACTAAATACACCGCACGAAGGAGCCGGACATGAGCACCGTCTGGCTATGTTGAATAGGGGTGAGACTGAGTCATTCAAGCTATCTTGCTCAACATATGTCTAGCGCGGATCAGGATAGTTGGATGAAAATACTTTGCTCTCAGGCGGCGCCAACCGTCGGAGGCGCACATTGTTGCAGGAGGCTATGGACAGCATCACATCTTGTTTCCGATTTGCATTTACTTGTGGATCGTCATCGAGTCCGCAAATGGGAAGTAGTAGGATGGCACACCCTGCATGTGGGCGTGACGGAACTCCAGGTCGCCTGTCGGCTGATCAAGGCGAATCCAGCCTGACAACTGGTCAGCGAGCACGAGCGGGAACTGCGTCCTCGACGGAGGGAAATTTGAACACTAATACGGATACTAGAGTGGATAGTTATCCAGCGACAATCTCGTCTGCATCCATTCTTGGGAAAGGGATACCGAACCAGAAAGGAAGAATATTGCGTAGTCGTCGTTTCAATCGCATCTATGATATGCCGAGAGATGCTGCTGTGTTAGGAACAGGTAGACTCGCATGTATGAGATATATCCCCACCTCCTTGATTGCATTGCTCAGGTCTTTCGGGATCCGTTAAAGTAGCAAGGCGGAGGTCAGATGGTCAGAAGGTAGCCGTGAAAGTGTTGAGTACTCGTGGTCTACCTACCGATAAAGTTGACGAGATCGTGACAGAAGTGAAGATTTATTTGCGGCTCGATCATCCAAATATTTGTCGACTGCTCGAGGTAGGTTCTCCGCACTTTATTGGCACCAGCTTGATGCTCAGGTTTACGATGAAAGTGCAGTCAGTGGGAATGTTTACTTGGTGATGGAGTTATGCAGTGGACGAGAACTGTACGACAGATTGGCAATGCGCAAGCGCTTCTCAGAACGTGATGCGAGTGAAGTGGTAGGACAATGGGATATGTCACGGATCTCTTGGTGATTGCATTCGTTCATCGTTGCAGTTGGACTTGGATAGGTTCGACAAATGGTACTTGCGGTTAACTACTGTCATAACCAGAATATTTGTCATCGTGATTTAAAACTTGAGAACTTCGTCTACGCTGATATGAGCGAGAAGTCACGCTTGAAGCTGATCGATTTTGGCTTGTCCAAGATTTTCTCAAGAGGTGTTCCTATGACCGCGATCACAGGTGAGTTCATTCCCGTGGATCCTATATCAGTGAGTTGACTCCTTACCTTTCAAAATTATGCGAATGCGATGATATAACACATAGAGAATAAATGTTGCTGTTCGCTCTGATATGTCGATCTGTACGCCACTTGAGCCATCACTCTCTCTAGGAACGGTATACTATGTTGCGCCAGAGGTGATGACCGGCAAGTATGATTATTCTTGTGATATGTGGTCCATCGGAGTCATGACATATATGTTACTAGCCGGAGTCCCTCCATTCGATGGTGATACAGACAAGGAGATTCTAAGGAAGATCGCGAAGGGAACGTGAGTGGCTCGACGGCTGGGACATCATTGATGGTTCGTTGTGCATCGTAGGTATTCTTTCTCTGGTCCATCCTGGGATTTCATCTCTGCTTCTGCGCGGGATTTTATTACAAAACTCCTGAAGAAGGATCCTTCTGATCGTCTTTCAGCGAGCAGGGCTCTGAACCACCCCTGGCTCTTGCGATATGGGAATGAGGATGGAGCATGGACAACATCAGGTACGTCTCATGTCCCGCACCGCACAAGATAAACTGTGTGCGAAGCAGCCCCGTTTCAAGGTACACTAGATCCAAGTGTAACGTGCCCTGCTGTGGTGAAATCTATGCGTGACTTCGCCCAGTCCAACGTCTTAAAGCGAGCTGCCATTGGACTCATGGCTTACTCGACAACATACAATACGGATTTGGAAGCTATTGCAAAGGAGTTTCAGGTATGACAGCTTTCAGGATTATTGGACCCAGAGTTGAACGCACTCTGCACGTTCGATGATTCCCTACGGCCTTTTCAGTAATGCTTCCGCACAGGCGCTCGATGTTCGTGCAACGGGGACTATTTCTGTGCAAGATTTAATGGCGGTACTTCAGCATCATTTGAACGTGGATCAGAGCGAAGCTAGATTCATATCTGAGAGAATCGATGCTGGACAAGGTGGCGAAGTAGTTTTGAATCATGTCTGGGACTCTCTAGGAGTCTGGGAAATCGCAGATTCACTATTCTGAGTTCCTGGCCGCGGCAATGTCTGCGCGCATGGTGATTCACGAGAAGCAGATAAGGGAGATGTTTGCAAGAATGGATACTGATGCCACTGGGAAGATTACTGCTGATAATCTACGCGAAGTACGTAGATCTATGCCTCGTGGGCCTCCTAAGGATCAGCAGCTCAGGTTACGCCAGTCAATTGCAGGTACTTGGCGAATCTTACGACGGTACTCCTGTGGAGGAGATAATTGCTGAGTGTGACAGAAATGGCGACGGGTCACTCGATTGGTAGGACCAGACCTGTGGTTTAATATGTTTCTCCTCACATATCTAGGCACGAGTTCGAGGCCGTACTGCTTGATCGTGTGACACATAATGATCAGACAGTCAAGGTCACTAGACCTCCTGGTGGAGAATCGGGACCCGTTGATGGAGGATATGATCCTCTCTGGGAAAAGATTACAGGCCAGAAGACATCGCCACCTAGCACGTCGCGAGATTCCACCGTTGAAGCTAGAACTCGTAGCGAAGGGGCTGATCATGTCTCAGTGGAGGAGAGCAACACGCGGCAATCGCGGTGGGTAGATGTTTGACCATACAGCGCTCCAACGCATGTTTTCACCTCGTAGTTTCGATTGGGAGCAACTAGCTGAACTTGGTCGGAAGCTTGTGTTCGATCGTACTCCTAACGAAGTCCCACCCAAGCGGCGGGTGCACTCTGTGACATGAGGTACATCAGACACATCAGGCAATTTATATTTCCAAGGTCAGGTACACAGCTGCACTACGAGAACCGTGCGACAGATCAAACTGTGTGTTATTACTTCTCTCTCTGATCATTATGGGTTGTTTGATAGCATCGAGTATTCCTCTCGATGATTTCGATGTTGAGGGCCTCAGCCTGAAGCCCGAATTTGTTCTGTTTTTCCAAGAACAACTGTCTTGCTTCGTGTTTATATATCGACGTTCAATGCGAAATTGGTCTATGGGAGTTCCGTTAGAGGAAACTTTGACTCTTAGAATAGATTGAACTCGGAATGGTCTCATCGGTGCTCGCTGCAAGGGAGAACGAATCGCGTGATGCTCAGTGCTCCAAGCACTCAGCTTCTATCAGCTTGTCAGAACTTGTCTCGGACAGATCTACCCCTGTAGAGCGAATCTCTGGCAGTGATACGATTGTTGGATCAAGTAGCCGATTTCTTTCTGGTAAATCAATGCGATATGGCATTGCGCATCATAAAGAAATACAGAAAGACCACCAACAGGTGATGGGACATGAGAATTTAGAGCGAGATAAGATGACCACCATCGGTTCCGATGCATCGTTTCACACGTTCTTACCATGCACCACAAACGTCCCTTAGCACTGGTTCGCCAACTCTGTTCCACGCAAACTGCATCACTTGCTTCTGGCCATGTGTCGTCAATTTCTAGTCCTTTTTAGTTTCGTAGTTCTAAATTCGTTTTTTTAGTTAACCCACCAAAACCAGATACGGACAACGACTTGAAGTCATTGAGCTGGTTTGGCGAGTATATCTTAGCCATCATCTGTGAAAATGGGCCTTCCTGAACCAGACACCAGTAGACAGCGTATTGGTGAGAGGTGTGGCGGCTGGCGCCATGATCGATCTTTGGATAGCTTCGCGATCTTGGGCTGCCACCGACAACTCCGTTCAAACTCATCGTAAGCATGAATGCCTTCTCGTTCACGATGATGATCCTGTTCGTCATTGGTGTCACTTTTGCCGCTCCTAAGATTAACCCTCCTACGACCCCTGCTACGACCCCTGCTACGACCCCTGCTACGACCCCTGCTCCTACGGCGGTTAATCCGACCGATGACTCCGTCATCATCGAGCCCGTGGATCCTGCAGAGCGACACTGCGCCGACTGCGTATTCTGTAAGGGATTGCCCGCGGGGGGTTTTTTCACCCACTTCGAATGTCTCAATAACTTGTTCGAGTGCGGCACTTCTTGTGATAGCTGTTGCGAGGGTTTCTAGAACCTCATCAAAGCCAACTCCTGTACTAACTTCTTTTTTCTGTACTACCGTTGCTGGTTAATGGCCACCCATCGTGCATCGGCCAAAAAGGATGATGACGATCTATGCTTATATTGATGACCTGTCTCTTTCGAATTTTCTCTTTCTTGAGTTGTCAATAACAATAGGTACGACAGTCCAACACGATGGTGTACTTCAAACACGCCATCTCGGATAAGTTAATTATCCATCCTCATCTATACCAGACCATATGGGCCGTTCTACTGGACTTATTGATCCTAGCGAAAACCCCGAGAGGGTGTC